GCCGCAGAGCTTGGAAAGCCTTGCACAACATGGGCGACTGGTTGAACAGATTTACTTGATAAAAAGGTGGTTCATGTTTTGTTTAAATTCTTTGAGTCAGTGGACAAGGTCAACGCTAACTTGAAATTCTTGGGCGGTTGAGGTGATGACCGTTGCCAAAAGCTTCTGGATGCAGCGCAGAACGGTGCCATCTCAGCGCCAGCGGATCTCAGATATTTGTCGAAGCCAAGTTCTGATGACCTAGGTGGCAAGAACAAAACTTGCCGGGCTGACGTCATCTCCTTTTTGACCACTATATATGAGTCGGTGGCAGAAGTTATGCCTGACTCTCGTGACACAGCGTTTGACGATGTTGACAAACTGGCTGACTCCTATTCTATCCAGTTGAACTTGGAAGCTTCCGCAGCTATTAGCGAGGAAACGATTGAGACACCTGCAGGTAGCAAAATGCCTCGAAAGAAAAAGAGACAAGTTGTGATCAATCCGAACAGGCCCGAGAGGGAAGTCCGGAAACTGCCACCCGGCTACATGAAGGAGTACTATGAGCAATATCGTTTGGTGACCAGTTCTGATGAATGTGCAAGCTTTCCGAGCTTCTGGAGAGTTACTTGCCTTTCTCATTGTTTATAATTAATACGCCCACTCTAAAAAAGCGTTGGTTGTTCCATTATATCATTAAGCTCCTATTTTTGGGAACCTGAGGTTTGGCTCAGTGAGTTTCCGGAGCTGCAGTTTCGAGAGCGCTCGAATCATGCTCAATGCATGACGTGCATTAGACATCGGTCCATGATCAAGAGCTTGAGTTCTCATATGCGGGCGCGGCGAGAGCAAATCAGACTCTTCACAGAACATTTGGCCGCGCAGTATGCTGACAGAGCTTTGTATTGGCAGATGCGCGGATTGAGCCGTCACAAAGGAGCGGTTGTAACGCTCATTTGCGACGGAATGGACCAAGCGAAATGGGAGGTGCCAAGAAGTCCCATTTTGGTTGGCAAGGACTTTGGCAATATGCAAAAGCCTCGCCTTCACGTAAGTCTGTGCATCGCTCATGGATGGTTCTATCTTTTTCTGGTCTCTTCACCAGACATTCGCAAGGATGGAAATGCGTCGGTAGAACTTTTGGCTTGCGCGTTTACGATCTTACAGAAGAAAGGGCTGAACCTGGCTATGACGGACGTTTATCTACAGCATGATAACACCTGCCGAGAGTTCAAGAACAACAATGGTTTGCGCTTTGTATGCAGCCAGGCTGGACCAATGCTGCTCTTCACATGTGCTTAGTCTTCACATGCATTGTAAAGCTTTTGTGTGGAGTGGAGAAGACTAAGTTTTGAGCCGTCCAAGTCTTGAGCCCTTCGGGCCCTTCAGGTTTCCTGCAAGAACATTCGGAGTGTGACCTGTTCGTATTTACGGACAGGGCACACTCACGAAGACATTGACCAGACTTTCGGGAACCTCTCCCGCTATCTCAATCGTGTTCGCTGCCTCCAAACGCCTGACGACGCAGTCCAGACCATCAAAGCCTTTTGTGCCAAGACCAAGTTTCCCTTCGAATCCGAGCAATACGTGTTTGCTATGGAGGCTACCAGGGATTGGACCCTCAGCTTCTAAGAGGCATGGTCAGTCAAAGCTTTTATCGCCCAATTGTCTGTGGCCTTGAGGACAGGCTTTTTTGGCGGAGGCCGTGCCGTTTAATTTGAAAGGGATTGGTGGCGGTGGAGCGCCACATGTCTTTAAGATGGATCGCCGTGCTGACGCAGGCACACCATGCTAGCGTTCAAGTCTTTTGGGTAGAGGTGACGCTGACAGCTGAAGTTTTGGCGTTGGACGCAACATTAAGGGTTTTACGTGACGGAAGCATACCAGGCCTGAAGAGTGAGGAGATCGAGAACACCATGTGGGGCTATCCGGAGAGCCCAGATGACGTTTTGTTGAGGACTGGTTGTGGTTTGCTGTGTTTTTCTTGGGACTTCGAACAATCTTGGGACTTCAAACAATCGTTTCACCTCATAACAAAGGACGAAGCGCTTCATGGCGGACAAAGCCTTCACTTGCACGGTCTTGTTGTATCCGCGAGCGTTGGCCTTTGACCGGCTACCGGTTGGTTTGCCCGCAGGTGGGCGCGTGGTGGGATCAAAGCGCTATTTCTATGCAGTCGGTGAAGTTATTAGAATTCTACAGTCCTATGAATAACGTTGATATATAGATTTATGGGATCTGTACTGGTTACCTCAGGTTTCAATATAATAACCCTTGGTTTCCTTTTTTTGCTTTGCATGGTACCCCATAGCTATATACCGAACTGTTTCCATCTACTGGCAAAAACACGAATTTCTTTCAAGGTTGTTTCAAGTCAAGGGGACGTTGCTGTTAACAGTGGCTTCATACTCGCAGTTTCTAATTTGGCTACGCGTTTGAAAACACAACGTTGTTGCAAGTGATCCCTGACCAGCTTTGGCGAGCAAGCGGGAGCTGGGAGAGGAGTACAAGAAACACATTCTTAAGTACGTCCCAGCCTTGCGTACGCCGCTTTTCGGATTGTCCGTGGCAGCTGATTGGTTGGAACGGTGGCTTGCGGACACATTGCCACCGCCCGATCTTTTGGATGTACATGCGCAACTCAGTGAGTATTCATTGTGGAATTTCATTTATATGTTGTGAGAATTGAACAACATGCTTTTCAAATTGGGGAATGGTTTGTGTCCTCTTGTAGTCGGTACTTATGACAGTTTTGAAATCTTTTGGGGTGGAACATTTTGGTTGGGCAGTGCCTCGCCACTAGGTGCATGATCACCACAGGAAGAACTCAAGTATCTTCGGTTGCCCGAGAACCAGTTCCGGACGCTTTTGTGGTTCCGCCAAATCCTTTGACGCTGAGGCTGTTTGACAGTTTCACTTGGCCAAGGAGTCAAACTTTGGTCGGGGTGTCTTTCTTTGATAGTTTTTGTTTTCGAATACTTGGATAAGTTTGGTTTGCCAAATAATCCAATGGAGTTTGAGCCTCGGAGGCCCATTACAGCGGATGAACGGAAGACGGTGCAGGAATATGTGGCTAAATCTAGAAAGCGGATCGTGCACGAAACTGCAGCAAAAGCCTGGTCTTTAGGCGTCCCATGGGGGGAGGCTCTTGAAGCCGCCACCAAAGCTGTAAACGCAGCAAAGTCTGCTTCAAAGCCTTTAATCCGAAAGGGCAAAGGCAAGGGAAGGGGCAAACGTAAGGGTTAAGAAAGCGTGCTTTTGTACTCCTGGGTGTGGAATTAATCGATATCATCTTTGTTCTCGTTTACACAAGGTTCTGATGGTGAAACACTTACTGTGGTTTCATTGGTTCCTGAGCATAATACTCTGTCTGCTTCTGAAACCCTACAGTTTGTCGGGGTCCTAGACCCTTTTCGTTTGCCCCAGGTGAAAATTTAGGTGCGGCATGGTAGTTTAGAGGGGGGTCCTTCAGAGAATGAATCGGACACTAATCACTTCTTTGTTGGAGCTGTGAAAAAGTGACTGATTGCAGGTCACTTTCAACACTAAAGCCTTGTTGTAACTGGTCATGGATGCGCTATTATTTTTTCTCACGGTTGAGGACCACTTGAAAGTTAGGAAAAAGTGTCGGATCACACCTGTGATTCAACACTTTCTGCCCTGTCAAATCCCTTAGGGATAAGTGTCTGAAAAGTGTCCGAATATCACTGATGAATAAGTGCCGGATATCACTAGTGAATAAGTGTCGGATTTCACTGGTGAATAAGTGTCGGATTTCACTGGTGAATAAGTGTCGAATCGCATCTGTGATCCGACACTTTTTGGAGGGCGCTTTTTGGTCCAATGTGGCCAATTATGTGAGTTGCTTGGCCAGGAGTGTCAAATCGCACCTCCTATCCGACACGTTTGCTTTGATAAAATCCGACACTTTTGTCTTCAGAAAAATCCGACACTTTTGTTTTGAGAAATCCAACACTTTTGTTGTGAGAACATCCGACATTTTTGGTTTGATAGAATTCAACACGTTTCATGAAAACAATCCGAGTCTTTTCATTGGAGAATAATACGCGCCAATGTTTGTTTGAGAGAACCCAGCACTTTCCACTTGAGAGATTCTGACAAGTTTACATGTGTTTATATGGACAGGCGTGCAGTTTTTTTCAGAGCAAAGCAACTGACAGTTTGAGCTGTGCTTGTCAATTCTGGCACCTGAGACGGGTGGCTCCAAGCCGGCAGCAGGGGAGATGCCCGCAAAGCGGAGGTCAAAGGGGGGCGATGGCGCCGCCGCCAAGGTGGCAAAGGTTACTAAGGTGGATGCTGACACACACCCACATGTTGTGAAGCTCACGGATTGGTTTTTTGGCTTACACGTTCGGTACTGTTTGTTTTCTGCGGTGTTTGTTGGCTTTTGCAAGAGAATGGCGAATGGTGAGGAAAGGAATCAGAACTTGAACCCTAAGGCTTATCAACAAGGTCTTTGTTGCTGGAGGGCCTGACACATATCTGACTTCTCAGTACGACACCAAGGACTATGAACACAGGGATGATCATAAGATATAATCATCGAAGTGCTTGCTTTAGATTTTATCAGGCGCCCTGAGTTTGAAAGATCCACCAGTCAGTCAGGACAAAATGATGGACTTTGCAAGATGGATTGACAGTTTTTGCCCGCCTGATGCGATGTGAAAAGCTCAGCAGTTTCGCATCTCAATATTGTCATCAATTCATAAGAAGCGGTTTGTCAATATTTGAAGGGTTCGGACCAACAAACTCATAAGGACTGCCTATGCAACGGACTACAAGGGTGCAACGTATCTGAGACCCTACATGCTTGCATGGCGTGCGGATGCAGGATGTAGCGGATTCATAGAACCCGACATCGCTGTTCTTATGGCCGAATTGATGCTAACAGAGGGGCTTCTAGGATTTACAACATTGCCACGAAAGTTTTTTCACAAACCATTCGGGAGCTTGGATTGTTTCATAATAACAAACAGGCTGTCCTTTAGCGCCGTGAATTAAGAACATCTGAGGTTTTTGAGCAATCCGGATTTGCCAGGGGTGGAAAAGTTGTCGACCACCAAGATACCGCCCGAGTTCTTGGATTCCGATTACATTGAGCTTGGATCGTTGGACGGTAACTTGACAGATTATGTTTGGTGAACACCTTCTCAAATGTTGAAACTACAACTTTTATATATAGCATGACACCAGCAGGCTTCTCAAAAGAGAGTTGGGGCTTTAGTGCACTTCTATCATCAAATATAGATTTTTTTTACAAGGACCTTAGGCGGGTCAAACATGTTAAACTAGCTTTGAGGTTCTTGCTCAGAAGCAACAACACCATTTTGAAAGTAAACATACCTGTCAAACATACCTCGCGCAACCAAGGTCATATGGTGCCGCCTTTTTCTGTCGGTTACATCAAAGGATGGAAGAGAAGTTTAGTTCTCTTGCTTTGCTTGCAGGGCATTCGTGAACTGTCGCTGGAGAGCGACATCGCTCACAGCATCAAGGCGTTTCGTCACGCTCAC